TCTGTGGAACCGTTGAGATATTTGGAGGTGAAGTGAATCTATGGTAAACAGTAGATATAATCACTGGAAATTTGATTTAAAAATAGTTTCTTTTAGTGAAATTTGTAATTATTTTGTAATTATGTTAAGTAACTGTCCTAATTTTCTTCATTTTGGTCTTTAAAAAAACACCAYGATTTGTAGATAACTTTTTATCTTCCATCAGTATGATGCTTTCATTTTAAAACATTAAATCAGGAGTTGGGATCAGGTACTCAGAACACAAGCAGCCTTTTAACAATATACTCTCACTCGAGTAGATTCTTTTGAGTATTACTTTTATTTGAGTAAAAATATGTTGAAGTAGGGCTAAAATCACACCTCTGACCATTTAACGTCAGTTTTATACGAAGATGGTTCGGTTCAGTTCAGGATAATACTGAATAATAATAAAGTCTTTGAATTTTTTATTATTAGGAAATGTTGGTCTTAACCCTCTTGTTGCCCTTAGATCAAAACAACCCAAGGCCTTAATTTTAAAACTGGGTCATTTTAACCCAACACATTTTTTTTTCTTTTGTCCAAAATCCAGTTACTGTCATGAAAACACGAGATGTTTCACCAAATGTCTGTTTCAAAATTGACATCAAATTTAAGCAAAAATTTGTCATTGGAAAACAAATTTGTTATTTTGCCCTAATATATTTTTCTTTACTTATGCACTTAAAACAAAAATGTGAATCTTGTTTGTTATTTCACTTTTCATTTTTGTTCTTATCGTGATCATAGCAGCATTTCTGTTTTGGCTTTTTGATTGCCTCTATTCAGTTTCCTAAGGCGTTATTTGTTCACCTTTAAAAAAAAAAAGAAAAACTTTTGTCTCTATCAGTGTCATTTAAGTTTTTAGTTTTTATCATTGCTGCAGTGATAAAAAAAAGAGGGGAAAAAAATCACAAACTTTGTATTCATTTTTCATTGAAGCGTTTGAAAGGTGATCATACATTCCACAGGAGATCAATAAGTGCGGTCCATTCACTGTGGAGCTTGATCATTTTAGAGTCTGAAATATTTTGTTAATTCCAGGAAATTCTTCAGAGAAACTCAATTCCTTTGATCAATTAATAATAAAAAAAAGTATTTCAGGTGTTTAAGATATCTTGTCATAGTTAAGAGTTAAGACATTTGGACAAGTATGAAAAGCATCTGAAAAATAAACAGGATTAAACTTTTTTTTTGTCATTCGGTGCACTTCTCGTTAAACCAAGATAAAACTTTAAATTGCGCACAAATAAGAAAACTTTCCAGCACGACTCATTCCGACCAGATTTAAAAAAAAATAAAAAAACGCTCAAAGCCGGAGATTTCGCTCAATCAAACCTGCATGAAAGTAAAACTTTTATCAGCCTCAGAATACAAACGGATCCAGAAAAAAGATATGGGTCAGGAGCTGCTTCTGCACAATTACACAGTTACTGGTTAAAAACAATGAAACTGGTGCGGAGAGGAAAACAAAAGAATATCAAATAACTTGTTGGAMCCGTGTGTACCTCAGTTTGACTCAGAAATACATCCGGTGTGTTTTGAAATGAAGGGGGGGCAGAGAGAGCTGAAAGGAAAGACGAAAAAGCTTCTTCAACATCAGTTTTCAGTCTCTAATGTTAATAATTTATGTTCTCTGTGCTTTTTATTATTACTATTTATTTATTTACGGTTTTCTTTTTCAGCAGCCTGCCCGTTTTTTTTCCAAAGGCATCACGGACAGGGAAAGCCGTATCAAACTTTTGAGTTTAGTTTGAAAAGGCTTTCTCCTTGTTTATTTATACACATCTCCTTCTGTACACTTGTCTTGTTGTTATTTGGTGAAGCAAAGACATGAAGCTTTGATGAGAAGCAAAAGCCCGACATGCATTTCTTTCCTAATGACCCCGTGAAATCTGAATAAATGGCTCTAAAATAAAACAGTGTCTTGTTAAAATACTTGAAAAGGCCGTCGCCAAGGGTGTACCTTTAGGTCTAACACTGGGGGGTTATGCTTTCTGCCTACTTATTTATTTATTGAATCTTTTACTTTTGTTCAACGATTCAGGATATTTTGGGGTTAAAATACATTGTAATGGTTTTATTGTGATTCCTGTTTTCTTAGTATTTACTCTGCACCTTTTCTGTTCCACATCAATTCATCAATTAAATTACTTTTTTCCGCCATTTTGTCCAACAGTAACAAATATCTTACATTTTTTAGGATGTATTATATGACATACATTTCTCAATTTATTTCTCAATTTGTGTATTTACCAGGTGCACTACAATTTGGCTAGGAAAAAAACAACAACACATGATTCAACAAACACACCCATAACAATTATGCTTAAATGTACATATATGACATTGTCAATTTTGAAATCAGGTCAAAGTTACCTAWAGACTATGAGAGATGCAGCTTTGCACTTAACAAGTTAATTTCTGTTAGAGCAAATGATGCCATTTTAGGGAGGTTATATTGACTGAATCAAATTGTTATGAAGGTCATAACCTCCCCTAATCCCACTGCAAATTCACTCATAAAAAGCTATCTACAGCAGYTAAGATATTAATTGTTCAGAATGTCTCTAACCTCACAAAAGAAACTTCAAAAGCCATTACTATCTTCACTTACACCTGATTTATTGAATCAAAATTATTTTGGCATCCCAAAGTGACAAATGTTTAATGAAACTTTTGCATTTTAAAATAAGTTCAAAGCTAAGAGCAAATTACGCCCATGTCAGCACAAACAGTTGGCTTTAATAAASTCATATCGTCAAAAAAGAAGAGAAAACAAAATGTGGCTTTTGATGCTTTTTAACACTGGAAACAAAAATGAGTACATTTATGGTCACATGAATATTATTACCCACTCAACAAAGGCAAACTTAGACTGATGATGGTTTTGCCAGTGTCTGTTAGCMAAATATCTCATGAGCCACTGGCCAAATTTCTACGAAACTCTCAGAAAMTAAAAATTGGACACACATCTACAGCTGATGACCTTCTGACGCCGACCAATGTCAAGATGGCTGCCACAACCAGTCAACCACAAAAAACACAAACATGGTTCTAACTCAGTCAGTCTATMATTGAGCTAAACTTTGGTGTGGTAGTAGCTGAGAGTCATGCAGCACACATACTCAGAGCAATAACAGATCATACAGGATCTCACAATAAAACGTAAACATCAAGAAAAGGCATTTTCAAGGTTTGATCAGAACAGCTCAGCTGTCATTTTTAGACTAGATTAGAAGATTATCTTAATCTAAAGCTCTAGAGTGAAAGGTGGAGGGAGATGTGCATTCCTTGAAGGGATTACACCTGTAATTAGAAAAGTGGCGGTGCTGTGTGAGCTCTTTATTAGAGCCTCATGTATGGTTGATCCCAGTCACATCCCAGGCCCAGTTTAACTAATGGAGCAATAATATGTAAACAAATAAATACTTCATTTTTTGTTTGTTATGTTTGTCCTCTTTAGAGGTCAAAGTTTTAAATAGAAAATCTAACATGTCTGATCTCAGTAAGTGTTGTCAGTATCGGCTACAACCAAACCACATTTTAGCTGTAATATTTGCCAAAGTTGATTGGTTGTGGTGGCCTTGAATTGGATTAGCTTCAAACAATGAACATCCTGCTCTGCTATATATATA